TTTTTTTTCCCCTTAATAATAAAAACCTTCATTTAAAAACTGCATTTTGTGTTATCTTTGTCTAATATTTAAATTTCTTTGATGATCTGAAACATTTAAGTGTGACAAACATGCAAAGAAATCAGGAAGGGGGCAAACACTTTTTCACACAACTGTACTTCTTGCTATACTTTTGACCCTGAAGTAGCTATCACTCTGGTTGTATGTACAAGATATTTATTGTTCTACCCCCCAATTGTTTTAGCTGCATTACATATAGTGGTATATAATTTTATAAGAAATCAGGAAGGGGGCAAACACTTTTTCACACAACTGTACATGTAAAGGCCAGAATAGCCACTTACACTTTCGGTCAACATTGTTGTAACTGTTTTGATTAATTTGGGATCATATCATCAGACAAAAGATGGAAAGCACAGACATTTGTTTTATCTTGTTTCACAATATAACTGTTAATGGCACTGCAGGTTGCAATGACCCTTCTTGTGAATATGGCAAAAACAACCAATTTTCAAGGCACCAATTCAATGCACGGCCACTGATTGGAATACCTAAACCAAATAAGCTAACAGCTTCAGTTGTTAGTGTTCAACTGGTCTGTTTGGGGTGCAGTGTACAGACATTATTTGGGCATCAGAACACTGTACTAGGGACTACTTCTACACACTCAACATAACATTAAAGGCCATATTGGGATTAGTGTATTTTGCTATTCGGAAAATAAAATATAATGTTTAGAATGTATCATTACCAAAAACCTCAAGGTGTTAAAGGATGTTGTTCTCTAGATGCGACACCTCCATGTGGTGGTTGACTGTTCAAGAAGTATGGAAGACCAGGACTTGAAACCAAACCGCCTCACCTCCTCTCTGAAGGTATATTGTGTAGCAGAGCACTCACCCTGTACACCAGCAGCCATATGGTATGATCAGCTGCTGAGCACCGTCTCCTTTTACTCTCCTCCTCAGCTGATAGAAACCTTTGTCGAGGAGTATTTTGACCAAAACCCCATCAGTCAGGTATGTTTATACCAGCAACACAGAAAGTGTTGGGGGCCCATCTGTTAATGTAACATAGCACTGCTGCTGACAGTCCCCAATCAGAAACAATCGTTCTTATACAATCATCCAATATCTGCAAATGAGTGGCTGACCTAACAACATGTGTTGTGTGTCTACAGCTGGGCATTATCACCACGAAGAATAAAAGAGCCGAGAAGCTGACTGACCTGGCAGGTAAGGATCACATAACCTGCTAATATTAGACTCCACCGCTCAATGTGATACCTAAAGGAGTGTCGTGAAATGAGTAATGAACATGTTGTTGCTTGGGGCATGTTATTGTTAATGTGAGGATTTCTCATTTTTGTCTTTATTGCAACAGAGAAAAATGTCACTTTCAAGCTGATGATGCCTTAGATAAACCATGTGTCAGCAGCGATCACGGCTCCGTCTAAACAGAGCTACGATCCTCCGTGATCAGTGCTAGTGTTGCGTTTGTCATCTGTTCAAACCTTTCACTTGTGTCAACTACAGCCTCCAGTCTGTGAAGTGACCACGTGCAGGGAGACAGAAATCAGTGGGCTTATTGTGCGTCGCACAAAGGTTGGTGTCCATATCCTGTGCAACAGCCAAGATAGGCAGAATTTTCACTGATCTATCTGTGAACAACATATGTTAAGTCATTGACAGTTAGTATATTTAGCCGGTCAGGAGCAATAGAACTCACCCGGCTGCAGATTAGGAAATGGAACTCGGCTATTTTCTGGGGCACGTTGGCAACACTGTGTGTGCGTGGAGGCTAATAGTCATTACATCTAACCAGTCCGTCTTTGGGGACGGAAACTCATCCAAGGCGGGCACAGGTGACCTCAGTGGCCGGGCCCGGACCCCCAATGCCGCCGGCACCGGGTGCTGCTTTAATGTACTGCCATGTATTTTGTTCACCACCAGGAAATCCAAAGAAACACATTGTTGCTCTGAAGAAGGCGGTGGGCACAGTGTGTGTAGGCGAGCCGTCCCTCTACAACTCTCTCAACCTGGCCATACAGACCCTCAAGTATGTTCTGCAGTCTTATAATCATTATTATTATAAGTCATGTTTCTGTTATTTTTGAATAGTTGTTATTGTTAGTTATAACATTACTGAATGTCACTCAGCTTGTTCCTTGGTCTCTGTATGAAGGCACATGCCCGGACATACGAGTCGGGAGATCCTGATAATCCTCAGCAGCCTCACCACATGTGACCCAGCAAACATCTCTGAGCTGATTAAGGTAAAGACACCCTTCCTTAGGGGGGCATAGTCACAGCCTCTGTTGATATGCAGTTCTGCTGCTAAGCTTACTAGTTACATTTCAACTGAATCTCTCTCCCCTGACGTTTCTAGTGTCTCTCATGCTCTAAGAAAAACCTAATCAAATACTGTGATGTATGACCGTGTTCCTCTCTGTCAGACCCTGAAGTCTCTGAAGGTGAGGGTCTCTATAATCGGCCTGTCAGCAGAGGTCAGGGTGTGTACGGTATTGACCAGGGAAACGGGCGGCTCGTACCATGTGATCCTGGATGAGAGTCACTTCAAAGAGCTGCTGATGCTGCACGTCAAACCCCCTCCAGCCAGCTCCTCGTCTGAATGCTCTTTAATACGCATGGGTCAGTATTCAGAGGCTGTTTACATCTTTCTCCACATGACTTTTGTAGGCATAAAGATATCACTGTGAGGGCAAGGTGATGCATTTGCCAATTCATTTGAATATGTAGGGATCCAAATGTACAATCTCACTGGTAACACGGTGAAAAGCCTGGTTGTTCTTGAGCGGAAGGCTGGCAACATATTATTATTATTATTACTGTCAACAAATCCCATGTGTTCCATCATTACCATCACCATACACTGTAGTAGACTCAACATGCTGCTTCACTGATATCCACTGAAGCCCAGAATGTGGATCACTGCGGTGCTGAAAGTAGTCCCAAACAAATGTACTATGTTCTCCTGTCTGAGTAAGGTTTGTTAAAACTGTCACGCTGAGCTGTTTTCGGGCATTACTGAATTGCTTAGGATTTGAAATAATTCATTTGAATATTTGTCTCGTACCCACTTATCCGTTCAGGTTTCCCTCAGCACACCGTTGCCTCTCTGACTGACCAGGATGCCAAGCCTTCATTCAGCATGTCGTAAGTCAAAAGCAGTGCTACTTAAACCTTTTAGCCAGGACTGTTGGCAGCCACTACTGAAGGGAATTGTGCTCCTGTTGTGTGTCTTCCAGTCATCTGGACAGCAGCAGTGGTGCCGTTCTGTCTCTAGGAGGATACTTCTGTCCGCAATGCCATGCCAAGTACACAGAGCTACCGGTGGAGTGTAAAGTCTGTGGTATGTGTCATAGGAGGATTCAGTCTGTGTGTCACTGTACGATTAGAGGAGACTTTGAGTCATTTTTCTTCCTGTGGCATCAAAAAAGTACTGTAGTCCTTCTTGCTGCTTAAAAAGTACTTTGTGTTAAAGCCAATAAACATACTGTAGCTCTGACCGGTGTGTTGTCTCGAAGGTTTGACTCTGGTGTCGGCGCCCCATCTCGCCAGATCCTTCCATCACCTGTTCCCCCTCCAAGCCTTTACAGAGAGTCCTGCGCAGGAGCTCCATGCAGACAGGTGGTTCTCATGCATTCAAACAGTTATTCACAGACACTGTGCTGCTGTGGAGCTAAACTTGTTGTCATTTGGTTTTAGGTGCTGTCAAGCTTGTCAAGGGGAGCTGAAAGACACAAGTGTAAGTACAGTAGCTGACTGTAGAGGCCATTCAGATGATAGAACAATGTTTTCCTTTTAAAGGGCCACATATTTAAAAGTTCAGTTTAGTCATCACCGAGTATTTTTCAGCTTGTAACGCATAGTTGTAAAATACCGTCTTTGAATCTGCAGTCATAAAATGCTAGTTCTTCATATTCCTCTTCATATTAAGTGTAAAAATGGTATACTTGAATTAGTTTATTCATTGTAACTTCAGTCTGTCCATCCATTTTCTCTGCTCCTTCCCTCTCTGTCTAGATCTTCACCTGTCCATCATGTCGCTGCGTGTTCTGTTTGGAGTGTGATCTCTTCATCCATGACTCGCTGCACTGCTGCCCCTGCTGTATTCACAATCAGACCAACTCCTGAACCTGAGAGGCTAACGGTTGGACAGAGAATGGAATAAACTCAGTGGTCATGTGCCCTCAATGACTCATCGTGTCCGTCCTATCAGTATTGTCCACCTCTGATAGAATGGTTATGATGCACACAGGCAATGGACTATATTTCAAAGTTGTTGAAGATATGCGTACAATATTGGACTATTTTGGGTTTATCCATATCGTTTTGAAGGTTCAGCAGCTTCTTGCTGAAGTTAGGCCCACACCTCCGTCTGCTCTGAGAAATGCATCTGAGCTGCTGCACTCCCAGCTGTAAAATAGCACACCACTGTATGTCAGACATGATCTGTGGGCATTGTTTATACACACTTTTGTACTACAGTTCTGTTTGTGACATGGCATTTACAATAAAACATATTGTTTCTACTTGTTAAAGTGCTTTCAAAGAGTTTAATTAAAATGTCTGTTAAGTGACTATCACTGAAGGAGATAACACGATGGTGATTGAGCCTATGGGCCACTAATGAAACTATTGCAATATTTATAGATTTGCAGTATTACAGACTGGAAATCTGTGGCAACATTCCTGGAAAAACTGCTGTACAACACTTTTCTATTGTATGCAGACAAAATATTGAACTATGCGCACACAGTTCTGAAAACTGGAAACAAGTGAATACACTTTTCAAGTTTCACATTTGAAGCACAATTCCATTGTTTTGACTGGAATAGAGATTCTAAATGCACCAGGACAGAAATCTTAAGGATTGAGGATCCCAATTTATATATTTGTGTTTCCTTCAGGTTGTTCAAATGTAGTTTTCTTTCTTGTCGGATTTGAGAGAGGGTCGATCTCAGTCCACACTCCAGGTGAGTTAGTGGCGGTAATGCACTCTAAAGCTGTTAGCCAACCGTAGAAGAAGAAGAAGAAGACAGCACAGTCGATTGCCGCCAGGAAGCTACGGGTCCGTGATCACGGCTACCGATACACAGCGGTGCTGTCCCTCCACCATGTCCCGCATCCTTAACGGTATCGTGGCGGTGTGCCCTGACCTGGGTATCGGGAGTAATGGAAACCTGCCCTGGCATCCTATTAGACTCAAGTAAGTCATGTTGATGGATGGTGCTTTCTATTAATGCAGAAATATGAACATCTTGAAATGAAAGCTTCAGTGCGCTGTTCAGTTGCGCTCGAGCAGGCGTTAAAGTTCGGTGTTTACACAATGAAGTGCACGAGACATTGACGCTCGCGTGGTGGCAACAACAACGACCTGCACATGTATTAACATTGTAAATAATTGAATTACATGTTCTTCTCTTATAGTAACGAATTCAAACATTTCCGAAGGATGACAGCGACGCCATCTGTGAAAGGTAACTTCAGCTCTGGGGTTAGTTTACATGATAGTTACTTGATGTAACTCCACCTCTATGACTGTGTGGCCCCATACCTGCCTTCTCTACAGAGCATTGAGTAAAGAATGTATTGATGCGAGTGGTTTGAACAGGTACAGACACCTACCACCTACTTCATTCTCTCTTGTACTTGCACAGCCTCACGATCGTGCAATACATTTTTTGTAAACTTTCAAAGGATACCGACGAGAATGTGATAGACAAGAGAATGTGATAGAGAGGCGAGGCGATCAAAATGTTTATTTCCTGGTTAGTGGGTCCTGAAAGGCAGATGTGTCCTATGACACATCTGCCTCACGCACACACATATCACCAGTTCATTTAAACACCAGGTCATCTCGCACACAGGTTCCCTTATCTTGAAGTGAATGGGTTCTTGGTTGGTTACAACCCGGCTCAAAGGCTGCAACATAAGGGAGACAAGACGAGTGGTAAAAGTAATATACATTTATTCAAAGAACATAAACTAAACTAAACAAGCAAACAAAACAAGCAGCTGTGTCATCCAAAGAAGAGGATCCTTGTTCAGATGCTGCATTTCTATAGGCATCACTACGATGAAGGCAAATCACTGTCAAAATCTGAGAGCGCAAATGAGATCTATGCATGCAAATCAAACAGCCGCACGCGTATTTGACTTTGACGAGCGCTTTTACATCACTTTGCGAGCAAAATTCCCTCTTGCGCGACCAAAAGTCACTTTTTCTGACTATTATCATCTTTATGACCGTCTGAAAGGACAGAAGTCGACAATCATTGACTAAGTTAGACAAGTTAGACAAGTTAGTCAAAACAAACAAAAATAACAAAGAAAACTCCTGCGCTGGTAAAAAACCATAGGCCCACCCCAGTGCATGCTGGTCCTAAACCTCCTCTGATAACTAATCACAGGTGCTCACAGTGTTACACAGTGTTCCAGTGTCCCCCAGTGTTCCAGTGTCACCCAGTGTTCCCGTGTCCCCCAGTGTTCCCGTGTCCCACAGTGTTCCAGTGTCCCACAGTGTGTCCCAGTGTTCCAGTGTTACAGTGTCCCCCAGTGTTCCAGTGTCCCCCAGTGTTCCAGTGTCCCCCAGTGTTCCAGTGTCCCCCAGTGTTACACAGTGTCCCCCAGTGTTACACAGTGTTACCCAGTGTTCCAGTGTCCCCCAGTGTTCCAGTGTCCCCCAGTGTTCCAGTGTCCCCCAGTGTTACACAGTGTTCCAGTGTCCCCCAGTGTTACCCAGTGTCCCCCAGTGTTACCCAGTGTCCCCCAGTGTTACCCAGTGTCCCCCAGTGTTACCCAGTGTCCCCCAGTGTTCCAGTGTCCCCCAGTGTTACCCAGTGTCCCCCAGTGTTACCCAGTGTCCCCCAGTGTTACACAGTGTCCCCCAGTGTTACACAGTGTTACCCAGTGTTACACAGTGTTCCAGTGTTCCAGTGTCCCCCAGTGTTACCCAGTGTTACCCAGTGTCCCCCAGTGTCCCCCAGTGTTACCCAGTGTTACACAGTGTTCCAGTGTCCCCCAGTGTTACACAGTGTTACCCAGTGTTACCCAATAGATAAGCAAAACAAACTAACCCAGAAACTAAGTTTACTTAAACAACAAAAAATAATTCAACTAAACGAATGACTATTAAAGAGAAAAATCAATCTTAATATATCAAACAAACAATCTAACCTCAATAAGCAAACATCTAGAATAATGAAACAATACTACTTGTGAATCAAATAACAAGTACTAACATCAAATATATAGCTCCTACAGTCACTCAATATATTTTATATTTTAGTAAATATGAAATGTTTAATATGATCCTTTATATAATAAGGCAGTACAATAACCATTTAGTATGATTCCTCATGCTGGCTTATTTGAAACTCACCTTGTTATGTTTCTAATGTCACCGTGGTCCTCTCAGCATCACTGAAGCTCCGCCTACATTAGGTTACTACTAACAAGATTACTTTTATATGTTGATGGACTATTTTAAACTTGCCTCATGTTTTCAATCTCACTAAATGTTAGGTCTCACCCCATATATTACGTTTTTTGTCTATGCATTCTAAATCCATATCAATAGCAACGTATGACTCAAACAGCTCCCTTTCCTATTGTTGTGTAACATTACCTTTATTATACTAGCTCTGTAAGTTAACCCGTACTGAATAAGATAAGATATACGTTTGTTTCCAAAGAGGATACTTTGCTTGGGCAATAGTGCTGCACACAGCTGCTTAAAACAACACATAGGAAATGGACGTTACAGCTTTACACCAGAGGTAACACTAACATGCCAAATGTTGCCCATTACCTGAGAGGAAACAAGAGATACATTTCAATACATAAGCATTGTAAAACAGGAGAGAAACATTAAAGTCATAAAGACGGAACACGTGATAATACAGTCTCGTCCTTTTTAACAGTGCCTCACGTTTGACTCTGCAACTCGATGGCACTGCGTGTATTTGCACTATTCACAACTATTCAGAGGCTCCATGATCCGCCATTGCTGTAAACAATTCAAAGGATTCATAAATATATTTTATATGTAAATTACTCTCTCCACAAAAATATTTTTCAAACATAGTAAAAGTAATGTAAACATCTATTCATAAAAGATAAGAACAACAAATATATTTCTGATGCACGCACAAATATTTGTCATAAATAAATAAATGTATTTAAAAGAATTTGGAATTTTCACCAAAACATGGATGTTACATTTATATACAAACTGTTGAACCTGCATTTACAAACTGCTACGTGTGAACTTCACTTCTTTTCTTCTGTTTTTCCCCCCGACGTTGCTCAAACATTGAATAATCTGCAGACAATCCGTTATCTCTAATCACGTGAGCGTAGCCCTAAGAGAGTGTACTCTTGAATCATGCACAGGGTGGGAACCTGTGGTACATTAAGTGAATGTGAAGGCATGGCTGAGGTAGGATAACAGTCTGCACAGCTCACCTGTCACGCTATGCAGCTAGTGCTGAACCAGTTGGTTAAAGTCCTCCCTTCCCTCTCTGACACTGCAGCAATCGGGCCCAATGAAAGAAGCAAAATCTGTATCTGAGTTGCTTCACCCATCATGTACAGTAGGCTAAGGACATTTTGCTGTAATTGGAAAGTGTTGAAAATTGCACTTTTTTTATGTCATTTTTCAACATAAATGTGTGTCCCTGGTGTAGATTTTGAAGCAGCAAGTAGGGCTGTCCCAAAGAGCTCCACAGCTTCATTAGTAATCAACAGTGAATACTCTGAGCTTTGGCCAGGAGGGGGTGGGGGCTCGACCTGTAAGACCGCCATTACCGGAGGAGCACTTTAACCTTTGGGTTAGTATGCAGCACTTTAGTTGTGTCATTAAAGCAGCACAATGGCGACGAGGGCTCTGGCTGGACTCATCTTAAATTCAAGTCTCGGAAGGACTCATTTCTCCATTCTGGCCTGAGAGAGAAGGCACAGTGCTGCGACACGTGTCTTTAGGTTAGATTAAAGGCATTCGTTCTGAAGGATTCTGTCATTCTAGTGCACTGTTATTGTTTGTGTTTTTAGTTGTTATTGAATTGGAACCATTTTTCAAAAAGTTTGCTGTGTTTTATGAACTTTTATATCCCAAGGAGTTTAAAAAGAAGAAAAGAAAACGAATATCAAAATTGAAAACCAGATACCCAATGAACGAAAAACCTAATAGTCAAATATTCGTGTCCAACCCTATTCGGAAGACTTTGTAGTATTAGAGAAATATATTGTGTTTTTCAAACCAATATTAGTAGATTCAATAGAATTGTCTTTAAACTCCATCACTAATGCAGCCTGTAAGAGAACTGAGACGGATCTGCGGCTTCACCAGCACTAGAGAGTTAATAACTAACAATGATTCAACTCTGTCCTGCAGACAAGCAGAATGTGGTGATCATGGGGAGAAAAACATGGTTTTCCATCCCGGAGAAGAACAGACCTCTGAACAACAGGATCAACATCGTCCTCAGCAGGGAGCTCAAGTATGTGTCGCAACAAACACGGCGCGAATTATTTGCGCGAGTAGATTATATACAAAGTCTATTACATACAAAGTCTGCACAGACGCGATGAGACTGGAGTGATGTGAATTTGTGACGGCGCCGCGCGTTTACATTACAGTCATTTAGCAGACACTTTTATCCAAAGCGACTTACAATTCAGATTCTATCACATTTCTACACCGTAGGCACAGCTACGGGAGCAATTTTAGGGTTAAGTGTCTTGCTCAAGGACACATCGACATGCGACTAGTGGAGCCGGGGATCGAACCGCCGATCCTCTGATTGAAGGACGGCCATGCTATCCACTTAGCCACAGTCGCCCACGCGTTTGCCGCGATTGACGCAAATTCTCGCCAAACGTGTCAGTTGAAATTTTTTCAAATCCGGCGAATAAATGGTGCAACGCTGCGGCGCGATAGCCTATCGTTAAGATGCTCCTGCCGTCATCAGTGATGTCCTGCCGTCAGGAAACAAATACTGTAGCCGTCTATGTTCACCCAGAGCTCTACGATACCTCATATCAATAGAGACCGGACCAAACTGTGTATAAATGTGTGTGTGTAAACCATATGGTACAAACAATGAAAAGACGCTGCCATATTTACGCCCATATGACGTTATTTTGAGTGTCCGAGCTCCATTGAGAAAACAAGTATTTTAAAAGTGATTTGCTTGTCGTCTTGCGGAGAGAACTAACAAAAGATGAATTCAAACTTTTTACAAATCGGCATCAATGTGTATTTATTTTGGCGTCCCCTTTTGTCCGTTTATTGCAGTTAAATCACAGAACAATCAGTTTATTTTGTGTTCATACAGCTGTAGTAAACAGCGACGTGTGGCTTGTTAGACACAGTGAATACACTTCGATAAAATCCATGGAGCTCCTCTGGACAATGTTATGAACCAGACATGACGCCGTTTAGTTTCCCGGGATATCTGGGACTTCCACAACACGTACTAAGCAGAAATAGAGGTTATTTTTTCCACGGTTGATGGCGGAAATAAATGGTGGACAGTCGAACGGCTTCCAGGGCGATAAGCCACGCCCCCTCTCCGGCACGTTTGGCAATTCACTCGAATGACCACAAATGCGGCGCGAATCACGCGATTAATAATTCGTGCCACGTTTGGTGTGAACGCACCTTTAGTCAATGCTGCGTTACAGCAGTGTGTGCATATGAAATCTGATGTTTCACTGCAGATGCACTGTATCTTGCTTAAAGGGCTTTTCGGTTTTACTAAATTGTTTCTCCGTTTGTTCAAATTCTAATGTTAACTTCTATTGTTTTGCTGTGTGACATTTCTTAGCTTTTAGTGCTGAGTTTAGAGATGAATCTGGTGGTATTTTACAGTTTTCACCTGCAATAAATGTTTGGTACGGCATATTTGTATATTGTTAGTAAACAGGACCTCTGATAAATTTAACTTTTAGAAGTCAAAATGGAAGACAACAATCCTTACCATTAATTAGGTTTGCATCAAGAGAGACGGATTAATGGCTAAATTCCTTTCAACTTCATTTTATTGATGTTGAGGCAGTAATATGTGGGACAGAATGATGTGCATGGATGGTCGGGGTGAGGAAGGAAATAAGTTTTTAAGTAATTTGGGCGAACTACATTGCTCAGCAACCTTGACGCAGATGTTACCTTATCTCGAATATTGTTCACTGCAGTGACTTAATATATTTCTCCTCCAGAACGCCCCCTGCAGGAGCACACCACCTGGCATCGGACTTTAACTCGGCTCTCAGGCTGGTGAACACGGAGCTGGCAGAACAGGCTGACCAGGTCTGGGTTATAGGGGGCAGCTCTCTCTACAAGGTACCGCATGGACTATCCACTGCTCACAAGCTCTGGGATGTTTTAAAATCTGTAAAAAAAAAAAAAAATGACAATGTTGGGGAATTTTACTAATGTCTCACACGTTCTTTAATTGGTCAATTGTCTTAAACTTTTGTCATAGTTTTGTAGTCTTGGTGGAAAACTGTCACAGAAACGGATCATTTTCAAATAGCAACTAGGCTTAAGTATCTGATTACTAATGAACAATGGGAAATAACATCTAAATAATGGTTGCAGCCATTAAGATGGTCACGGTGAACCACTCCAGGATACACACACTGCCTACAGACAGCTCTCTTCTTTCTGTAATCATGTTTTGGTTGCTTTGGGCTACCCAGGAGATGATGGAGAGCCCGGGGACCAGGAGACTGTTCGTCACGCAAATCCTGAAGCAGTTTGATTGTGACACATTCCTCCCCGAAATCCTTCCAGACAAATATCGTCTACTGCCAGAGTAAGATCAGCACATTTTAATGGATAATTCAGACTTTGTACAATTTGAGTATTATTCGTCATTTCTTTCGGTTATGATAATCTTGTACTTACTAAGGTAATTGCTGAGATCTTGGAGCAAGTTGACATCAGATGGGTCAAGAAAGTCGAGCAGTTAGACGATCAGACAGTTTATCCAGATCATCTAAACCACTTTCTTTGGAGATTAATCTGAAAGTGAGCACACCTGAAATATTGCAAATAATCCCTCATTGTACAAGAAAAATAGTTTTTAGGTCAAAGATAAAGCAGGACGTCGGTCTGTAAACTGCAGTGCATGTTTACAGCAGACACAGAATGACGGTCTCATTTGCACAGCAGCTTATCAACAGTAATTCCAAACACGTTTAAAATCACGGTAGTAAAAGCTAATGTTCTATTTGTTCAGTCACATCCCTTGAGGTGCGTCTCAGTGAGGATCACTGACAGCTTGTTGGCTGCTAAAATTAAAAATTTCTTAATATGAAATGATGCACAGAGACTGCGTTGAACCTTTAACACAGTGTGTGTATACAAGATGAAACATCCAGAAATGCTGTTTTTTTCCCACAGGTTTCCAGGAGTACCACAAGAGCTCCAGGAGGAGAACGGGATCCAGTACAGATTTGAAGTCTATGAGAGCATTGAGCAATAAAACCAGAAGAACGTCAATTCTGGACTTTTAGTGATTTACTTTTAGTTATTTATAGGTGTAGGGATTTAAATCCTTAACATAGTCATATATTTCGTCGGGCATTTTACAGACCAGCTGAATATTGTAGGTCAGTCTGTCTTTTTACAACCGTGTCACTGCATCATGATCACAAATCAGAACAATGCTTACAATGTATTCCAAATCTAGTAAAACCATTATTTATACCAATGAGCACTAACAGGTATTTCATGAGGACCAGGCAATGCTGTTATATTAGGACCCATAATACATCAACCAATATTTGAAATGTTTACAATTTTCCTCAAAATGTCTATCTTAACATGGGAGTAACTCTATATTGAAGGTTACAGGCATGAATGCCACAGGTCTGGATATTAGAATGGTGACAGTCAAACGCCTCCAGCAACTAGAGGCATATTGCATCGACAGCCTCAAGCCACCTCAACATTTCATCATAGCAGATTTTGTTTGTTATGCAAGTATCTTTATTTACTGAATAATCTACTGTAGATTCTACAGTCCATGTTCTTACTGGTGAAGACACATTATGACCTATATGTGCTCATTGGTTCCTTGCAGAATTTAGGAAATGAAGACAAATAAATTGATTTGTGGCAAACTTAGTAAATAACATTGGCTACTTTATCTTTGGGTTTGGAAGTATCAATTATTTTCAAGTCGAAAAGCTCAAATCCAAATGAAGTCACAAATCCAAAAAGGCAGAGGTTGAAGGAGCTGACCGCCAAGCGAGGCAGAGTAACGGAGATGGCAGGCTGTGAGTGTGGGAAAGCAGCAGGCGAGTAGGCAGGCAGATTCTAGGACACGAAGAAACCAATTAGCAACGGTCCAGGATTAAAACACAAAGGGAATAACTTTAAATAAACACATACAGGGACATGGAAGACAAGAGGAGTGGCAAAGAGGAAACACAAGGGATAGATAGGGGCAGGGCCACGGCTGTGACACGGCTGAAGTCATCACATTTCTGATTCGAGTCCAAGTCAAGTGACTCAAGTCCACACCTCTGCTGTATGGTAGCATAATACAAGGAGTGTATTCATTTTATTGTAATGAAATCTTAGTTTATGCAAATTGTAATGTTAATTTCAAATGAAGTATGTTTAAAAAGTCATAGTATAGTATGTCATAGTATAAATAATGAATACAAATAAAATATAAAAGCCACTTCAAAGTCACAAAGGGATACATGTTTTTAAGGCGTTACAGTCTTATGATCTCCTTTAGTTCTTATGAACCTCCTAATCTTAATTAAGGAAGTCTAGACATTCTGGATAATGGTAAAAAACAATCACTCCCTGGCCATGACAAAGTCAGCTTATTGGGTTCACCCCACTATCCTAGACCCCTGTACCCATGTCTGTAAAATCTATTTAGAAAAAGCTATTGACCCAGAAAAATTGGAAATTGCTAAATAAATCCCTCTCTTTAAATATGGTGATCCTAGTGTTTTCCAAACCACAGACCAGTCTTACCTGCATTTTCTAAAATACTCTAAAAACTGTGACGGCACCGACCTGTCACACAAAACGGCCACGCCCTTAATTATGTAGAACTTTAAGTCTTAATATAATTTAAGCAGGTGAGTTAAATAAAAATTCCCTCCAGTACAGTTGTGAACGTACAGAGCCATTGGAGAGAGCTCTTGGCTTGTAGTGGTGTGTCAAGACATGTTCAAGTTCAGACTGGAGAGAGCAAGAGCTTTGTCACATGAAACATCATTGGGATGATCCAGTACCTCATGCTCAGAGGAGAAAGTGGTTGACTGACCTTAAAAGGGTAGAAAACGTCAACCAATGCTTTAAACCAAAGAACTTCGGACAGTCAACAAGTATTCAGGTAGGTCACTCCTCTGATGCCACCCAGGGTGGATATGGTACTGTCAGCTACATCAGGAAGCAAAATGGAGTGAGTATTCATGATGCCCTTGTGCTGGGCATGGCTATGTGGCGCCTTTGAAGCAGATGAGAATATCCCGCATGGAGCTCACTGCCACTGCTTTCACAGTCCGAGTTGATAGGCGGCTTCAAGCTGAGCTGCAACTTGAAGCAGAGAAGAAATTGCCAATTAACAAACTGAATTCTGATAGTATTGATGTTGATCCAGAGGTAAAGAGGAACCTCATAGTAAATGCTGTTGTTTCAAATACAGCAGTCGAGTGGTACACTAGGTGGACAAAGTTTGTCTAATGATCTTAATGAAGCAGAAACGGCCATCATTCGCTTCAGCCAGCAGGAAAGGCCCCGTAGTGAAATTGAAGCATTGACATCTGGTACGTCTGGAGTGAAAAGGGAAGCTGGACCCTATTCTGCAGGCTCAGAGTTGACGCCAAAGAGGAAAACTGCGGATTTGCCTAAATACAGAACTTATCCTGACCATCCTCCATCTAATAATGTTTGAGTGGATTATTTTAGACCTGTTCAGGTGAAAAGAGGGCGCAGTGTAGTGAAATGCTATTGGTGTTAGCTTCACAGGCTCTTGTAGCGATGCTTTATGCAGACATAGTTTCACACATGGGATCAGACAATGGAACAAATTGAATTGGTTCCACCACCGAGGAACGTGGGAATGGTTCATCAAGATGATCAGAAAGATATTTAGCTCAGTTCTGCAGCAGCAGACGTTGGACGATAAAGGCTGTTGCCCAGTTTTGTGTGAAGTGGACCGTCCCATTACAAAGGTGTCTGATCATACCAATGATTTGAAAGCTCTCACTCCCAGTTCTCTGTTGCCAATGAAAGGCAAACCAGTGTTGCTACCAGGACCTTTTGACAGCACAGACTATTATTCAAAGAGACATTGGAAACAAAAAACGTACTTCTTTGACTTGTTCTGGGAATAATGGATACAAGAATATGGGCTTTTGCTACATGAGTGGCACAGGCCAAATAAGGAGAAAATAAATATTGTTCGTGCAGATAGTCTTGATATCTGACAAACAAACACCAAAGGTGGGTTTGGCGTAGACAGAAGATAGCCACACAGAGAAGCACCTCATACCCACTGTGAAGTATGGTGGCGGATCTTTGATGTTGTGGGGCTGTTTTTCTTCCAAAGGCCCTGGACATCTTGTTAGGATACATGGTATCCTGGACTCCATCAAATACCAGCAGATATTGAATGAAAACCTAACAGCCTCTGCCAGTAAGCTTAAAATGGGCCGTGGTTGGACCCTCCAGCAGGACAATGATCCGAAGCACACCTCAAAATCTACAGAAAAATGGTTCACTGACCACAGAATAAAGGTTTTGCCATGGCCATCACAGTCCCCAGACCTAAACCCCATAGAACATCTGTGGGATGAGCTGAAGAGGAGAGTCCACAAGCGTCGACCTCGGGATCTGAAGGATCTGGAGAGATTCTGCATGGAGGAATGGTCTCAGATCCAGTGCCATGTGTTCACCAACCTCATCACGCATTATAGGAGAAGACTCAGAGCTGTTATCTTGGCAAAGGGAGGCTGCACAAAATATTAAATGAAGGGGTGCCAATAATTGTGGCACATATATTTTTGAGGAAACGATTTGTTTCAGGATAAGAATTTAATGTTTCTTTCAATGATGTTACTTCAGTTAAAGGTTCGTTTTTTGTGAATATTTTGAATGAAAGATCATGAGGATAAACAATAAAGATGTTTTTTCACAGTCTGTTTTGCTCATTTTTACTAAAGGGTGCCAATAATTCTGGAGGGCACTGTATATTCTTTGATATTGCATGTATGCCCTATCTAACGCTGATTTGTGTTTGTTTTTGTTATCTGTTTTTTTTTTTGTATTTAATATTTACTTTTGTCTCTAATACTTCATTCTTACTTTAGTGAAAATGATTTCAGTTTTTTGTTAAAGCCACATCCTGTTTTTTCAAATGATTTCTTTCTTTCTGTGTTTGAGGGTTTCATCCTTTGTGACCAACACCGACAAGCAAGAAGTCTGAAGGTGTGAATTAACAAATAAAACAAAAAAACACACGTCACCCCATTGAACTGAACCAAAGATACTTTCTCTCTCAACCTCAGTTGCAACAGTGAAGACTTGAACAATGATTGGAAATACATGGAAAAGATTTATCTCAAGCCCACTTGATTACGATTGCGTGAGATTAAAGAATTCAAATGGACAGTGGGTCTGACACAAATAGGTGACAAGTTGAAGGCCTCCGCTCCATGAGTGTGTGTTTGGATTGATTAGAGATAAAGTGAATGGAATACACATCCAGCTGTTACCACACTACGTTTTCACACTCTTTTCCTGTGAAGATGATAACACCTCTCCCTGCCTGCTAAACACTCACTGAGTCATGATGTGTGGTGTATCAGCCCAGTATTAGGGCAGCTTATGAAATACTCACAAAATGCAATCTATTGCTTTCGTGTTCATGGGCACAAATTGTTCATTTTTTTGTGTGTTCCTCAGAATGAAATCAATGGCAATGGTAAGTCAATAAGGACCCTTTTTCGTGGTGGACACACTAATTAAATGCATACATCTAATTATGTAATGGTCAGAGCTGGTAACTTAGTATTAAATATCAAACACAGGATGGGTCCAGCAAACAGGATTTAGTTTGACACCGTATGTCCCAAAGTGTTGTTCATTGTCCCCTAAACCATCCAGGGTCACTGCTGCCATGTGAGCGTCCTACGGGTAAATGAGTGTCCTAAGAGTAAATGAGTGCCCTAAGGGTAAATGAGTGTCCTAAGGGTAAATGGGTGCCCTAAGGGTAAATGAGTGTCCTAAGGGTAAATGAGTGTCCTAAGGGTAGATGAGTGTCCTAAGGGTAAGTGAGTGTCCCAAGGGTAAGTGAGTGTCCTAAGGGTAGATGAGTGTCCTAAGGGTAAATGAGTGCCCTAAGGGTAAATGCTTTGTGAGGCTCCACCCCCCAAAACAAGGGGAAAAACACACAAATATTTGGAGGTGCAATCTTCTTTAAACACATAAAAGAAAACCTGAACTATACAATTACAATATATATTACACTTTATTAATAATAATTATGTGATGTAATTATTATTACATTAGCCTGAACAGTACCCAAATACAAGGGGAATGAATTAGCATATTAGAATCATCTTTATTGGTAATGTATGCATATACAGTACACACGAGGATATACACAGAAATCAACAAATGAACAAAAACAAGGACTACAAAGTAGAACAAAGGTAAGCATCAACATTGAACTACTATGTACACATGTAAAATATATAT